CAAATATCCCTTTTTTTAAATTTTACAATTTTTATGTTTGATTACAAGTTAAGAAACCATGCTAATAAGTTTTGTTCAATTATTATAAAGAAAAAGAGTGAAAAAGTATAAGTGAACGTTCTAGCAACCTCCTGAATACGTGGAAGTTCTTAGGTGTGAAGCGGTTCATAGTCTACTAAATACACCTCCTTTTATCACCATTCATCACCCATTGAATTAATGAATCCAACGGTTCATATCTATCCACCTACTAAAACAAAGCTGATTGGCTCCTACCATATCTTCCTCAATCCTGATTGGTCCACGTCACTAAACGTGACATGCACAAAACAATCAGCTCCGAATACGTGCAAAATGACGTGGCATAATTTCATTGGCTGTAGAATCGACTTGTCTTATATCTGATTGGTCCACGTCATCGTGAGTGACATTGTTCGTCAAAATTCAAAAAAGAAGACCGACCTTCTTTATATAACAGAGAAGGAGACTCGCAACTATATAAAGCAGCCGCAGGGCTTCATTTGTTGATCGGAAAATAGATAAACTACCTTTATCAGTCACCGGAGAAGAGAAACAAAGAAGAGATTGTTCGTTTGGATCTACGAGCTATGGCTACTGCGTTGACGAGACGCGCATCCTCGATCGTTTTCGCAATCGTCCTATTAGGTAAGCATTGGTATCCTTTATCTATAGCTGCTTCGTTTCTGTATATTGAGATTTGAGCTAGTTAAGTTTTTTCAACAGAATTTCTGTGTAGATTAGGAGAATTGAACCGAGTAAATGAACAATGACTAACTGTTAATTCGATGTGTATTACTTTTGATGTGTTAGTTGTAGTTAGTTGTGATATGGCTATGTATATGTTTTAGTATCAGATCTGCTGCTTTGTTTTTTCAATAGAGTTGCTGTGTATTATTATATGCATGTAATTTTTTTGAGAGATTATGCAATGAGGAGAAGTGAACAGAGAGATGTAACAAAGCAACAATGATTAACTGGAAGGTGTATGTGTATTACTTCTTGATGTGTTAGTTGTAGTTAGTTTTAATATGACTTTGTATGTGTATCAGTTCTCAGATCTGCTACTTAGTTTTTCAAAGGTATTGTTGTGTATTATTTGCATGTTTTGTTTTGAGAGATTATGCAATGAGTAGAATAGAATTGAATTGAACTCGATGTGTGTTAATTGTAGTTTGTTTTGTTATGAGTGTATAAGTTCTCAGATCTGCTACCAGTTGGGTTATTTTATTTGTATTTGTTTCGATAAAACCATTTAGATTTTCGGTTATTTTCTACTTTTGCGGCCATTATGATCGTTGACATAGTTGTTTTTGTTAAAACTGTTATTGTGTAGATACAAAGGGTAAGTTGAACAATGTTATTTGTACAAGTATTGTTCTTCTTTTGCTTCTCTTAATTAATGATGATAAATCTTCAACAAATACTTGAAATATTTATTCATCCTGAGTTCTCTAGCCAGCTACATTTTTGTGTAAACAAGTGCTTCAATACTAAATATCCGTAGAGAAAGAAAGAATAGATGATGGTAGCATCTGTGTTAAGAATAACATTTATTGAACTAGTTAAACAAGTAATAACTGTACATCCAAATTGCTCCCAACAATGTCTGGGAAGTTTTTTGATTTCTACAAATTCTTTTCCTTCCCCATGAAATCTTGTCACTTATACTTTGCACTAATTGGGTTGTTTGGTTTGTCAACAGGGAGCTTGTTTGCATTCTCTATAGCTAAAGAAGAAGCTACCAAGTTAGGAACTGTTATCGGTATAGATCTTGGAACAACTTATTCTTGTGTTGGAGTTTACAAGAATGGACATGTTGAGATCATAGCAAATGACCAAGGTAATCGTATCACCCCTTCATGGGTAGCCTTCACTGATGGTGAGAGACTGATCGGTGAAGCAGCTAAAAATCAAGCAGCTGTTAATCCAGAGAGGACCGTCTTTGACGTCAAAAGACTTATCGGGAGAAAGTAAGGCATTGTTCTTTATTTTGTAGTGTGAAAGTCTATTTGATATAATCATGATAATGACGGTTTATATCTGTGACAGGTTTGAAGACAAAGAAGTACAAAGGGACATGAAACTTGTTCCCTATAAGATTGTTAACAAGGATGGGAAACCTTATATCCAAGTTAAAATCAAAGATGGGGAGACCAAGGTCTTCAGTCCTGAGGAGATCAGTGCTATGATTCTGGTCAAGATGAAAGAAACAGCAGAAGCTTTCCTTGGAAAGACAATCAAGGATGCAGTTGTCACTGTTCCAGGTATCATCAAACATCCCCCGTTTCAGATAGATAATATCAGTTTCAAACTTTTGTGTCATACAATTGCTGAGCATATATGTTCATCTCTTTTGAAAATGCAGCATACTTCAATGATGCCCAGAGGCAGGCCACTAAGGATGCCGGTGTCATTGCTGGTTTGAACGTGGCAAGAATCATTAATGAACCAACTGCAGCTGCCATTGCCTATGGATTAGATAAGAAAGGTGGTGAAAAGAACATCCTTGTCTTTGACCTTGGTGGTGGTACATTTGATGTTAGTATCCTTACTATTGACAATGGTGTTTTTGAGGTTCTTGCCACAAATGGAGACACTCATCTAGGAGGTAATAATGAAGTTCAAAGTATTAAAATGAACTAGTAACTTTCATGTTACCATCAGTCTTGTTCACAAGTTGTTTGTTGTTTCTCACAGGAGAAGATTTTGACCAGAGGGTTATGGAGTATTTCATTAAATTGATAAAGAAGAAGCATGGTAAGGACATTAGCAAGGATAACAAGGCTTTGGGTAAGCTCAGGAGAGAAGCTGAGCGTGCCAAGAGAGCCCTGAGCAGTCAGCATCAAGTCAGGGTAGAGATCGAGTCTCTTTTTGATGGTGTGGATTTCTCTGAACCACTAACCCGGGCTCGTTTTGAGGAGCTGAACAATGATTTGTTCCGTAAGACGATGACTCCTGTGAAGAAGGCTATGGAGGATGCTGGTCTGGCAAAGAACCAGATTGACGAGATTGTCTTGGTTGGTGGAAGTACCAGGATTCCAAAGGTTCAACAGCTTTTGAAAGATTATTTTGATGGCAAGGAGCCTAGCAAAGGTGTCAACCCCGATGAAGCAGTTGCTTATGGTGCAGCTGTACAAGGAGGTATCTTGAGTGGAGAAGGAGGTGATGAAACCAAAGGTACTGCTTCTTCCATACTTATTTTAGTCCTTTGATATTGGAATTCTACAAGGCAAAACTAACTAAAATTTTCTTCTGAATTTTGACCAGATATTCTTCTCTTGGATGTTGCTCCACTGACTCTTGGTATTGAAACTGTTGGAGGAGTGATGACAAAGTTGATCCCAAGAAACACTGTCATTCCTACTAAGAAGTCTCAAGTCTTCACCACTTACCAGGACCAGCAGACAACCGTCACAATTTCGGTATGTACTCGACACGATTTTCCTAATATGCTGAATGTGTTGTGCAAAACTGAATGAGATTTTTATGGATCTTCTGACTTGAAATTCTCATCTCCAGGTCTTTGAAGGTGAACGCAGTATGGTAAAGGACTGTAGACTACTGGGGAAGTTTGATTTGACAGGAATACCTCCAGCACCAAGGTACTTATCCTCTACTAGTTTTGGTAGAGATAATTTCAGGAGCTGCATCTGCCTCTGCTTGACTAATAATTATTGTTTTTTTTCTTTCAACAGAGGAACACCTCAAATTGAAGTAACTTTTGAGGTTGATGCCAATGGTATCCTAAACGTGAAAGCTGAGGATAAAGCCTCTGGAAAGTCAGAAAAGATTACCATCACGAATGACAAGGGTCGTTTGAGTCAAGAAGAAATTGAACGTATGGTAAAGGAGGCTGAGGAGTTTGCCGAGGAGGACAAGAAGGTGAAAGAAAGAGTTGATGCCCGAAACAGCCTGGAGACGTACGTTTACAACATGAGGAACCAAATCAACGATAAGGACAAACTTGCAGACAAGTTAGAGTCTGATGAGAAGGAGAAGATTGAAACCGCCACAAAAGAAGCACTTGAATGGTTGGACGACAACCAGAGTGCTGAAAAGGAGGATTATGAAGAGAAGCTGAAAGAAGTTGAGGCAGTGTGCAACCCAGTTATCACGGCTGTGTATCAGAGGTCTGGTGGAGCACCAGGAGGTGCCAGTGAGGATTCCAGCGAGGATGATGATTCACATGATGAGCTGTAATTGAATTTGTAGGCTTAATAGTTTCTCTTGTTTCTCAAATAGATATAGATACTCTTTTTTCTTTTGTTATGATTTCATTTCTTATGTAATTTCACCGTACGAAGGGGTGGAACGTAGAACAAGTTGGGAAGAAATCGTGAGTGAAGGACGTAATGTTGTAGCTCTGGTTTCTTTCCTTTTGTTCATTTTTTTCGTACACCTGTATAGAGACGCGATCTTATTCAGAATTTATATTTCTTTTATCCATTGTGTCAAGTATTCACTTCTTCTGTAAAGTAATTTTTATGAATCCTAATTGCTTTTTAGTATATTAAAACGCTTCTCTCTATCTAAAATAAAATTAAATTTACCCCACAACTAAGGAGCTCCTGTGTCAAAAACTGTCCCTTGCCCGACATTGGTAACGGAATTCTAAAGGATTGAGAACCAGAGTTTCAAAAATGTTTACTATATACATGGATTAAACAAGAGTTGTATTTTCTACCCCTGGTACTTTTTTACCTAGTCACCATGTTGATATTAGAAAAAGTTACAACACTGTTGTATAATTTTTAAATATCTATTTCTCTTTATTCAAAAATATCAAATTAATATTAATATAAATACCTTCAGCAGCCAATGAATGCTTCAAGAATCAAGTAAGAACGAATTGACGGAAATGTAGACATTTTGAAGCAGTAATCATCTGCACATGATGAATAATGAATTGGCAGCGCGCTGGAGGTCGTCGTGATCATGAGATGTTTTACATGTAAACAAATATTTAAAACAGAAAAAGATAATAATGTAATTGATAATATATTTGAACTTCCAATTTTTAGAAACAATGTTACCCTGGCATTAAGAAGGGTAAGCAACCAATGTAGTAAAAACCTCAAAAGCAAAAACAATTGACCCATTGATTCCTTTCTTCAAGTGGCAATCTTATTGCTCCATGCTCTGTTTTTAAGTGACAGCACAGAAGCTACAAAAGATAGCATGCTTTACTAAAATCTAGAAGAGAAAATCCATTCCTCGAAAGATGATAAATAGGTGGCTACATAAGCATGTACAGCAGTAACATGATCGATCAGTAGAAAAGGAGGAAAAAAGACAAAATATGATGTACGTTAGTTGTGGACAGTGGCCTGCTGCAACCAAGGCCAGTGCAACTCACAGACATCACGAGGGCAGTCACCTTCATTATCCTTGATCTCTACGTCAGCACCATGCTTTACGAGAAACTCAGCAATATCTGCCCTTTCACAAACAGCAGCATAATGCAGTGCCGTTTGGCCTTCAAGGTCCTTCAATGATCAAAATAACAAGAATTTGTAATTCAGAGTATCACATAACCAGTAAACTAGAAGCACCCACAGACAGTGGAAACAACATTGAAGAATTAAGAGCTTCAATGCTTATAACTAAGTTCTACAAAAGCTAACCTTCAAAATTAAGAATTTTCAGACTCACAAAGCTCTAGTATAATATTTCCCAAGGTACAGAACCTTTGGGAAACAAACTTTGGAAGAAAACCACTTCGATTTAGCTCTCTATGATAGTTCCACTAGGCAAGAATTACATCATGTAAACCCATTTAAATTATCTTTCCTCTATCTCTGCAAATCTTGCATCTATGTTGCTCTTTGCCTCTCTTTAAATTCCAATATGATGACAAAATTCTCAAAAACACTACATTTAAGAGAGTTAGGGGAAGAAAGAAAAAGAGGAGAGGCTACAAGAAAATTACAGCTACATCAAGTAAGGATATGACTCTTAGGATTTCAAATGAAACAAGTCATGCAAAAAAATACAAGCCCCACAAAGCATATATATAACAAATCACAGAACTGAAACAAGATTAGGGGTTCGGCGTAATAAATGCAAAATTATATGCACCTTGGCTGTATTGAAAACTATATGTACCTTGGCATTTACATCTGCATTCCTGCTTAAAAGCAATTTAGTGATGTTGAGATGACCACGATCGACAGCCCAGTGTAAGGGGGCACGGCCCTCACTGTCTGGAATCATTTCAAGAAACAATTTTTAATCAGGAAGAACCTCAAACAAATGGAAAGACAAAAAAATCTGCAATACAAGTTCCTGGTAAACATCATTCAAACTCCAAGATTTTGAGTCACCTCACCCACCCTAAACATTCTCTCAGTTCTCCACACTACTAATTTTTTCTTCTTGGTATTAATGCAAGAGAATTATCTTGTTTCAAAGAAGACCCACCCATCCTCAGAATCGGTTATCAATTAAAAACCATAAGCAATGCACTTAATAGTGAATCAAAATTATCAACATTAAAGCAACATAAGTAGACTTCAAAAGAACTTATGTATCACATCGCGAACCAACCTTTCACATCCACAGGAACGCCACTCTCAATGCACTTAAGCAAGTTCTCGTCATCCCCTTCTCGTGCAAAGGCATGTATCTCATCCAATTTTCTGCAAAGAAAATAGTTAGCATGTGATTTATAAGATTTCTTCTTCCCTAAGTATTATAAATATTACTAAATACACACAATAGATAAAAGACAAACAAACAAGGAAGGTTTGCCTCGAAGTGCAGGAAAAAAAAATTAAGATTGGAAGACAAATCAACTCTATAAACAAACAATAATATCAGAATGAAACTCCAAAGAATGTTTCTGCCTTTTGATGCCAAGAAAAACTAGTCATAGACTACATCACAGTTTGTTGCGAACATAGTCCTGGAATAGAAGAAAGGGTGACAACAAATAAAAGAACTACACCATACCCAGTAACCATTTTGACAGAAGGCCAAAAGAACGATGCCTTAGTTAAAGTTAAAACTGTCGAGCCAACTGGTGAAAGGTCTTCAGGGTTAGAACTCATAATGAAGTTCAACTGATTCAAGCGAAGCTGGAAATTTCCTTCGACAGTTGTAATTTTAGGTAGAAAATTCAACTATAACTGGAGAAGGTAGGACATAAAAAATAAACAAAACCATGACATACTAATATACAACCATTTAATTCTAATTTTGTTTTCTTCTCCTTTACTAGTTTGGCAGTACTCCATATGCTTACTAGAAGAAGATGAGTAGCTTAGTCTTTGTTAGGAGCAAATTTGAATCCAAGGTATCTAAATAGTAGTAAAATTGGGTCCTACAGAAGTTGAGTTATATAAAACGTATTAAATCCATCACTTAAAGAAAGTGCAACACTTATTTGAAATAGAAAATAAGGATATTTTTCTGGACAGAGGGAGTGCATGCTTTCCCCCCCCCGAAAGGAACATGTTTAAATTTGTTATACAAGCCACACTTTAAAACAAAATCAAACTGCAAAGTTTAAGTTCAAACAAATTAAAGAACCTTACAACTCATTTTCGGAATCCTCCTCACTAATGAAGGTACTGAAAACTGGTCCCATCGGCCGCCCTCTAGTATCTGCATTATGTGCACCACTACTTTCTTCACCCTTCTTTTTCTATTTGAGCATGTCAAGGAGGCCAAACAGAAATAAGAAGACATCAGGCAGAAGAAAAAGAAGTAGAATATTTTTTTAGAAAATAGAACAGGAAAACAAAGACATGAATGCTTGCTATTAATAACAAAGATGCATGTCTTACATTTGCAGACCCATCAAGCCAGGAAGGAAATAACTCGGTCACGATATCAAGATACTTCTCCATGGCTTCTTCAGGAGGCATGGCACCCAATTTCTGCCATGCTTGCCTAATACATGATGAAAGCAAATCTTAGAACCAGTCAGTTAGAGAGACCAACCAAATATACTACTGATAGCATAGAAAACATTTGATCTATAAAAAAAACATGGAAAACAGGTTGAGAGGATTTTGCTTCTATGACCTTACTCTTTTCACCATTAAAGGATTTGAGAAAAGCTACCAGCCTAGTATATGTTATATTTCAAACAGGATTACAAGTGAAGGGGAGATCCACACATCCAAAAAGGTTAAGAGGATATTAAATACTCATTTGAAGTGATGAGCTATATGAAAAGTTACCACCAGTATGTTTTAGAAAAAAAACTCTTTCTCATGCCAGATCGCGTCATTGAGATCTGAGAAAATGCCGTTCTCAAGCCTTAGAGGATTTCCTTTTCTAGAAGATAACTACAGCGGAATCATGCCACGAAGATGCCACTAGCAACTTTATGATAACAACTTGTTTCTCCAAGCAAGGTTACAGAGAAGTCTTTTTGGGAACTTCCACTTACCTCATCCCTTACATCCTATTATTTAACATAACTAGCACTAAACTTTTGTAAATAAATTTCATAAGCATCGCTATTGTTCCACCTTCCACTAAGGAAACAATAGCCTTTAGTTGCTTATCCTAATAAGTCTTAGCACAATATGATTCACTATAGGTCAAAGTTACTTAAGGCCACTGCAAAGTGTATCCTCTTGCACCCGTAATTAAGCATCAGCATCTAGTCTTAGTACTCCTATCAATGTATAATTCTGTTTAACAAAAAACTCAAAACTACTTAATTCACTAATTACATGTATCATAAAAGTTCACCATTTGAGATACTTTTCCTTCCTTATGCTGCTAACAAGGACATGTAACATGATATCTTATACAGATCCAATAGTGCTTGCTCTCTGTTTCTAAAGCAGAGTATCAGATTCACCAACAAAATATGTCAAACTATCTAGTCATAAAGCAAGCAAATGAAAATCTAAACTGAGACAACAAAAACAATAATAGGAGGATTGTGGAGAGCATTACCATTTGGCACGAGCAGTCATTTTGAGAGCCGATGGCTGTGGAGCAGTGCAAGGTCCCTCAGTCGCAATCTTATAAAGCCCATAGAGCTGCAGTTGCACCTCATTTGATACCTTATGCGACCGATCAGCTGCCGTAGCAACCACAAACGCTGTCGCAGCACTAAACGCCTCATCCAACTCAGTACTTTCTACACCTTCCCAATCATCATCGCTATCTTCACCACCACTCACGGAACTCCCTTTCAAACCGCCGTCGTTCCTCTGAATCAACGGCTCAGTATCTTCTGAAACCCCTGCTTCCTCCGGTGATGTTTTCTCTTCAGCCTCGGAAGAATCCGCGCGCGTAATCCGGAGATTTTCATCACGGAAAGCGAAGATAATAGAGAAAAGCTTGGCGAGAAGGAAAGAGAAAATGAGACCGAAGATTATCGACTGTAGATACTGCTGCCAATCGGCCATGATTATTGAAGTAGAAACCCTAGATCGTCGGAAAATATATACGAGCAAAAACTGAAAGAAGAAAAAGGACGGCAGGGATAGTTGAGCTTGACAGTAGCGAAAAAGAGAAAATGAAATTGTTGGCAGTTGTTATCGGGATCGTTATATTATAAGTACACTACGTATTTATTATACGTACTGAAATGCGATACACTTTGTTTTTCGACTTCATATTAAATTGCGATACACGTAAATTTGATTTATCAATTAAAATTTGTGTATTGTAACAAATGTTTGTGGTCACATGAGAGAAGAATATTCAAATATATATATATATATATATATAAAAGATTAGTAATTAGGTTAATTTTAATTTTACAAGTATATAATGATGTGTTGGTGTATGTACTGTTGGTCATTTCAATTGCTCTGTTGCAACAGTTTTGGGCGTGCTGTTGTTGAGTCCGCCATGGACTTTTTCGCCCACGATCCATTTCTTTAAGGCTTCGAGCTAGCTTGATAGTAAACATTCATAGGCATACATGGTATGAGCTCGAACAGTGTTGGAAAGAAAGCACGGACTTTCATATTGGATTTGTCTGCGTTGAAACTAATTCCATTTGAAGAGCCCATCAACACAGATAGAAACGCAATCCACATTACATATTTGATGTTCCTGCTTCCTTACTTGTCTCTGATTTCGAAAGACGCAATGTCTTCCCCATTGGGTGCCGGCATGACGGAAAATTTGCTTCAGCCTGCAAGCCGAAGTCAATTTCAAAAACACATCAAGCACACCAGCAGAAGCAGTAACAAATTGGTTCTGCTATGATCAGTATTGGCAGCAGCATTAGCAACCCTTGGATGTAAGATTCCTATGTCATAGACTGGCGTCATATCAGGTTTGAAAAGCCCAAAATTTCTTTCACATGTTGGCCCTGGCTTTAAGTCCTCGTTGAAGAGCGCAAAAATGTAGGTTTCAAATGTCCTGTTGGGCATTAGAGGTGTCCCAATTCCAGACATCACGTGTTGTATGAGCTTTCTGTTGTATTCCGCTGCAATTCCAGTGTCTACTCCTGCTTGCCCTGGATCTCCTCTTGATGGCCATCCAGTTTCAGCTATGACAATCTCAATGTCTTCGAAATCCAGGAGCTTCAGGGCTGAAAAAACTGCATCTAATTGTGCATCCAACATGTTTGTGTACGTGAGTTGTGTGGTCTCGTCGAAGACCCCTGAATTAGGCCTAAAGAGTGCATAATCAAGTGTGTTATCAGAAGAATCAAAAAATGGATATGGGTTTACCATGAATGGTGAATTAGTAGCTCTAAGGAAATCAAGCAATGGCTTGAGCACATGGATGTCATATCCTGGTCTAAATTTCCCAGTAGAAGGCGGGCTTGAATTTGAGAGTATACCTAGGAAATGTGGAGTAGAAATTTGGATGTGACGATCCAAAGACTTTTCAACAAGGACAGCATGGAGGGTTTCCATAGCAGGGACTAGGCTCACAATAAGTAACTTGTTGGCAGTTGAAATTACTTCGTTGCCAACAAGTATTCTCACTATGTTGGTGGCAGGGACGTAAGGCAGGACGTTAATTTCCACCCATTGCTGGGCAAAACTCAACATGGTAAGCTGCGGAATTAGATCATTGGGGACATTAACAGTCACTGAAATGCCAGTGTTAGCAAATGCTTTCAAGATTTCTGGGTTGGCGTCAAAGAGCCTCACACGGCGGATAAAGGTGGATTCACGGAGGAAGCTAGCAACTTGGACTGGGGGAGGGAGGTTGTCAGCAACTGTACCATAATTGACACCAATTGTTCCTTCAACTCCTATTACCAAAAAGGAAGTTCCAATTATATCCAACTGACAGGGTATATAAAACACGCGCTGTGAATATAAAGCAATCACTTGCTTACCTTGAAGGAAAATTGGTGCAAGAAGAACAAGCAATGCACCGAGCAGATGAGCCAGGGGTGTGTTGAAAACCTTATCCATTGCTCGGCTTGGTCGTCACAGGTTGCTGCAACTTTTTTTTATGTCTGCATGTCAGCAGCTTGGGTGAAGAAAGGCACCTGTTTGGGATGCTTTCCTTCAAAAATGGGCGTTCCAGCTGAAGTTCTGGAGTGTCAAATTAGGCAAGGAATATTCATATGGGCCACCTTCTATTGGATGAGAATCTTTTCTTTTTATGCTTTCGTCAATGTGGGATTGAGATATACCTATTGCTAAACAGTAAGGAATATACTTTTGAAGTTGCAAAAAGGGCTTTATTTATATACTATTGAAGTTTGGATTAACTTTCCCTAAAGAAATAAGAGAGAATTTTGAGAAAAAGAAATGCTCCAACTGGGTAACTTTAGGCACTTCACCATCGACAAGAAGTTCCTCGGAGGTAAGCCCCCCTCACTTCCAACCTGAAGGTTGTGAGGTCGAGTCACCAAGGGAGCAAAAAGGTGGGAGCTCCTGGGGAACGGGTAAAAAAACAAAAACAAAAACAAACAAACAAAAGTACTTCACCATCTCCCTCAACTGCGTAACTTTTAAGTACTTCACCATCTCAATTGTTAAGAGTTCCAATTTAGGAGGGGTAACAGTTTCTAACAGAGAACAACAATACTCATATACACTACCAATTCGCTTAAAATATCCTGTCAGTAACTTCCAAAGTATAGCTTGGCCTTTTGCCGTTAGACAGATCTCCCATAATATCCCACTGTTCAAGTCCCCAATTGCCTGATGCATATTTCTTGTCCACGATAACAAATCATAAATGGAGCAAATTACAGAATGATTTGTTTCTAGAAAACCAAACATAAGTTCATCAGTTGAAAATTGATGCTTAATTAGACTATCAGGTATAAACAATGTAAGTTACAAGAAGAGTTGAATCTTAGTTGACATTACCAGGATAACTCACTCGCTCACTTTGCTATACCAAAATGACAAATATACAAGTAGTAGCTTACATTCAAGTATTCCACGGAGCATGGAAGATGAATCAAGTCCGAAAAAACTGGACAATAGCATAAGGTTATCGACAACCCAAGTTAACTCTTCCTTCTTCGTCAATAGTTTTATTCGTGCATATCTTCTGTAGATCAATGTAGCCAATGATTGTGTCCTCAAAATCTGCACCATCAAGTTGTGCATTATTGAAGGTAGATCCAGATAGTACAGTGTTCTTAAATGAAGCTCCCTGGAGGTTGGCTTTCTCAAAGTTCACCCGATCGAGAACAGCATTCGAAAAGTCTGTCCCTGTATGTACTGAAGAGTCAGATTTCCAACTTTGAAAAAGAAGAAAGTATTCAAAACAACACATACACACATAGAAAGCTTAAGTCATTCTTTAGCCCTTCCCAGCGAGACATTATAGTGGTTGTTGTCAAATTTACCCATGGCTACTGGCGAAAATCAGAGAAAGCCTCGTGGGGCAATACTACCATGATTTTCTAGAACATGTATACTCCAAATATAAACACTTCAGATTCAATTGGTTTTGTTTCAATGAAGAGAAGAACAAGAAAGCTAGAAAAAAAAGAGCAGTACCTAATCTACCAAAACATGCACTCTCCTATAAAGATGCTTCAGCTTAACTTAAATTCAGACACACAACATCCATCCGATACGCAAGTAGTTTTGATGAGAAAAGAGTCATTAGTATTAGTCAGTTGGCGAGGCAATAAAGATCACAGGTGCTTAATCTCAATTTCTATTTCATCTTTCTCAAAAAACTGAGTAGTTGAAAAGTACTCTATCAATGTGCAAATTTCTACACAATTCCTACTGTTTCAACCGGCCTTGACATTAGAGGCAAATTACAAATTAAAGTACAACGTATCTGTTATTTAATCAGGTTAAGGACCTCATTATAAATATCATGAAATACTAATTTACCAGTACCATGGACATGAATGTTTGGATATATATGTCTTATAATAATTCAATCAGCTGCACTCAATATTTCCCTTATTTCTTGCATTTCTTTTTAGTTTTAGCCTTTTGCTTCTTCAGTTGCCTTAAAAACACAGGGACGGAATATCTTCTGCAAAAGTGTAAAGTGAACTTACCCTTAAAACTAGCACCAACAGCATAAGCCTTAGACATGATCACTTCAGTCATGTCTGCACCATCAAATTTTGCATCAGACATGAGTGCTGCTGCAAGTGACTTCCCCTTAAGATTAGTTTTCTCATTTGTGTAATCACAAAAGCGCAGATCAAGTGGCTTATCGTAAACACCATTGGCTTGACCTATTGTGTTGCCAACAAAGGCCCGTTCACACCTATCTGGATCTGTTGATAATGGAGGTAATCTCTGCAAAATCAACCCAAAATGTAAAAAAAAACGGTAATCTTGCATACATGTATGGACCTATGAAGCTATGACAAGTCCTGATATATTAATTCTGAGTCAAAATGCACGTAGGCTTATTTCCTGTTTCGAGAACATGAGCTGTAAAATGTTTTCTCCCATTTTATGAGGAGAAATAGCTCAACATTGCCATTGTAGTATCAAAGTTGCTCAATGTTGCATTAGGCTTTTAGTCCATTTATTCCTTGCAGTCACTAAATTGTCATTTTTATACCCTTCAATTTTCGACAATGCTTTCAATTTGGAGCTCCATTAGGGGTCAAGGATACAAAATAATTTTCACATTGGCAGTTAACATTAGATCAAAAAGTCTAATGGATGGCAAAGTTGCTCGATTTGAAACAAAAAAGAGGCAAATTTGACCCTTTTCCCTTTTATAAGACACACTTCCGTAAAACACCAAATATCTCAAATCCCATGTAGCTCAAACCTAGATTTCCATGTTTTCACATAAACAATATAGTTAATTAAAGTCTTAGATACTTAAACGTACATATCAGGAGTTAATCATCACGTGGATCGAAAAACTATACAACTCACTTTGAATTTCTTAATGCCAACTGGATTTAGGCTCTACTTATTTGCCAAACTAAAAACATAAATGGCAATAACCTTTTGGGTAAATTGGCTCACACAATTTAGCTTTGGCATAATCTAAGGCCCATCAAAATATCTATACGTACTTAGCTAAGAAAAGAACCGTCCACACATTTTAAAACAAAAAAAATTATACAGATTTTAGACCAAGTTTTAGATGAGATGCAATTAACAACACAATTCAATACCGTAACAACACAAAAGGTCAGCCCTATTCACTGCTCAACCTATATGTAAACAAGAACACATTGAAGAAAGGCATTTGGCCCAACCTGACCAGCAGCAATAACGGGAGAAACAGAAGAAAGTGCCCAAACAGCAAGGAATCCACAAGCAACATTCCTAAGTTGCTTAAACTGAGTTGAACTTTCCTCACTGTTGGAACAATCCTTGGAAGCTGCCTCCAGGTGCATCAATCAAACATAGATCATAAACTAAATTCAGATGCGATTTCAGCTTGAACATTTATGAAAATTTTTGAGTATGATAAAAAAAAATCGAGAATCGTACCTGAACATTTGATTTGGATGGGTGAGTGAAGTTGCAAAGGGCGATAAACTGGGGAACGAAGGAGATAATGAGATTTATACGCTAAAGGAATAGATATTGACGCCATTTTTATTTTATTTTTGTGAGTATTATTGGCAGCACCTCCGTTGTTCTCATATCATACATGGACTTATCCATTCATAACCCCAGAACTGTAGATACATCTCTATCCTACGTGGCATCTAGACTCTACTCTTTTTTTTATTTATTTTTCCCTGATGGTCTAATTACCTAGTTAATAAAAAAGTTAATTTTAGCTGAATTAAATATCATATTAAAAAGGACAACTTTCACATATAGCAAATAAAAAATTCATATTTGTATGATATAAAAAAGTTTGCATAATTGCGCTCCATAACAAACATAGAAACAATATAATTCGCTATACATATACAGTCGAAGCAAATTGTATAAAACAAGAAAGAGAAAGACAATTGGTCAGAGAACTATATAAAAACGAATTGTATTATTATAAGTGTATAAGACGAAAATATATGTACTTGCATGTATATATACAATTTTCTCACGCTTTACACAAACAGAAATGCAATTTATACATTTCGCTTCTATTTGTATAAGTGAGAAAGACGAGGGTGGCGAGCGAGATTTGGAAGAGTGGCTGAGCGAGATCTAGAAGAAGGGAGAGAAGGGAACAAAAATATATGTATTTGAACAAGTTTCTCTGTTTTATACAATTAGAAACAATTTTTATACATTTGTGTTTATATAAAAAGTGAGAAAGCGAGTAAGAGATTGAAGGAGAGTGGCGAGCGAGATATTTAGAAAAGAGACGCCTGACAATTTTTTACAAACTTTTGCTAGGAAACACAATTAAATTAAATCTTAACTACTCTATTTATATTAGATTATTAGTTTGTTATTATATATAATTTTTCAAATCAAATAAAAACTTATATGTTACACACGACTCTTTAATTATGACTAAATAGCGGGGGAAGTTTGAAAAGGTATTTTCTTAAAAGTAATTGGTAAGACTAAGCTGGGTGTATATATATATATATGAGGAGAAGCCACCAGCTGTCCTCATTGACCATTTTCGCCTTGTTCCATCTCTATCTTTTCGCCCAACTGTTCAGTTGATTAGGGTTTTTCTCTTTTGATCCATCAAATCTTTTGGCGAACAGTTCAGAATCCTACCGATCATGTCCTACGAGAAGCTCGACGGTTTGGCGAGGTGGTTTGGTACTAGTGTTGCATCGGCGTTTTTCGCATCCTTGGAACGATGCTCGTGTGTGAATCTCAACACTTCCGAATCAGACGATGAGGAAGAGGAAGAAGCTAAAGAGCGCCCTCTCATGATCTCCGCCCTCTCTTCTCACCTCGATTCCTGCGCTGCCACCACTAATCCTACCTCCGCTGATAACCTCCCCGTTTGATTAGGTAATTTTTTTAAAAAAAAATTGCCTGTTTCTGTTGTGAATTTTGAGTTTTCGTTTGCTAGTGTCGTAATTTTGTTGAGAGGATAGCACGGAAGCAACGTAGTGATTGTTTTGAGCTGATTTGCGCTCACGATGTAATGTATTTTACTTGAATTAGCTTGAACTACTAGAAAAGAGTAAGCTGTCAATTTTGTAAGCATTGTTGTATTTTGGTATTGAGAATCATTCTCTGGACTTTATGGTCCTGAAACAACATAGCATGTTTGTGTATTATGTGTGTCAATACATGAGTATGTATATGCAATGCTACTAACTTGTATTTAACACTATTGAATTAAGGTTTCGTTATCCTTTTTTCCAGTTTATGTTAGTTTAGGTAAGTTAACTTGTTCTAATGGTTGTTTATTGCATGTTTGTGTCATAAAATTCTGCTGTAGGAATATATAGAAAGTAAAGAGGGACAGCCATGACAAGAAGAATGTGCACATATAGAAGCATATTTAATGCTTTAACAGCTAGCTCCTAAGTTTCTTGGACTAATCACTATGTGTCGACATGACATGGGTGTGGGTGGGGTGTGGGAACCCGTACTTGGTCTATCAAGTTTGGTTACTTTGACCAAAAACAATGGAAAATTTTGGGACATATATACAATGATTTCTGTTGGATACTAAAATCAATGGAGAAATTTGGAAATATACAATGGAGGAAAGGACATATACAGGGAGCTAGCCTAAGTTGCATCAGACTCGGATGCATCAGCAACGACCAAGCAGCATCCTATCTTTCTTAACACTTTGTAGCTTGTACCCTTGAATGATTAGTTTTTTTTACTGTAAGTGTTGTTGGAACAACCAGTGCTAGTTTCTTGACTGTTTGAGGAGAAATCACGGTTAGAAGTAGAAGCTCCTCTTTCATATGCAGGTTTAGGCTAAGAACAGTTCTATGTTTGCAGTGCAAGTTTGTCTGCCAAATGGATGATATTTTGGTTTATGGAGCGTCGGAGACTGAAGTTAATTGAAGTACTGATCAAGTTGAGCAACTCTTCAGGAATGATAGGTCCTCTTGTGTCAGAAGGAAAAGTTGGAAGTGGGAAAAAAGAAGATTAAAGGAGGTGTATTTGATGGTTTATCCTCTTAAATTGTAACTACATGGATGAAAGTGAACTTAATAGCCGCTATACCTAAACTTTAGCAATGTATTGATATTGTTTGATCAATGTTGTGTTACTCTTTATTGCTCTTTAGTTAGATGCCAGAGTTGTTAAATGAAATGAGGACCTCTTTGGGCACTACAGCAACTTCCATATTTTGTTTTAAGAGCTACTTCTTTAACATTGTCAGATAGGATTATGACATTGTGGAGTGTGCAGTTCGTTAAGTGGATCATAAATGTTATTACTACACATGGTTCGTAGTAATATATATAATTCCTATAGTTTAGATATGAGATGATTTGTGAATCTATTTTAGGTGTAGAACATCTTTGTTACTTCACTCACCACAAAAATTGTGCTGCTGCATGGCCTCAACTTGTCTTGATTAGAATGATTACAGTTGCCTTTGTGTTGACCTGGGGAGAAACTATGGTTAACTGTAATTGTATTTACTCTAACAAGAATACTCTCGAGTGGATCTGCCTCGACTCTGTTGTACTTGGTTAGATTATGCCTGTTCTGTAATGGGATTGGTCAATTATAAAGTAGAGAGAACGCTTCCTGTTGGAATATCTAAAGAGTAAAGGTCATATACTGAAATGAGGATTGTGTAGTGTTGCTCAGATAAAAGACTTTCGAGCCCTCTGTATATCCCAAACCAATGTCATCTTGCCAATCACAATTCTATTGATGAACTGTCGACTGTTTGCTTAGACTAATGGAAGAGGTCACTAGTGTTTTGGTTCTAGAAGAGCTTACCTGAACAAAAGGCTTGGTTGATATGAGTCGAAGACTTGGAACATTCTTGATGCCAAATTTTTGTGCTGTTTCAGACTTACATCTTTCGCAATGAAATACATAATAATGTATAGTTGATAATTTCTTTAGATAGTGATACCTACTTCAGCGATGCTTTTACCTTTTTCTTTTGATAATTTGTGTTGCTGCTTGAACAAAAGTTTGGTTGGGATCCATGATTTGCTTCTTTTCTCATGTCCACCATACTTTTGCAGCTTTATCTCTCACCTAGACAACTTACAATGCTGCTTTATCTTTGTTTTTTCTCAGAACTGGGATCATGCTGCAAATTTGCTGAAGTGGTCCTTTGGCTCCATCAGCATGGGTTTCATTCTTCTTCTCCATCAACAGAGTGGATTCACTCTGGTATAAGTTGTAACGTTTTAGTAGACTTGTGATAGGATTGTATAAAAGTGTGTTGTCTGTTAAAAGTGTCTTTGTAGTACATTAAATGCACTGGTATGCATTTTCCTTCTCCTTCACCTCATCATATCGGAAGTTACGGTGACAGAAATGCTATTTATATTTCAAAATATCTACAGATTATAACTCGTGTTTATGCATTTATCTATACATATCACACCTCCTTGGTGCCAGACTTGTGTTTGCTAATATTGAAAGAAAAAAGTAGCGGGCCTGTGGGGCTACTTTATGAACAAAATTCCAGTTAAGAATTTTTCAGCCACCAAAGAGTACGGTTGTTAGTCAATTAGTGCTTTAGGAATTAATTCATGGACCAAATCCTTCCAAACAATAAACTGTCTCTGGAATATGCACTACCTTGAATGACTGTTTAATCTCAACTATTAGTTCCATGATACAGTCAAGTTGATAAGAATCTCAATTAACAACACTCTTGAGCCAGATCCATATTCATGAAAATACTATTACAAATTTAAATTTCATGAACATCAAGCGACAAGATTGGATACAAAAATTGATGAACCTCAACATCAGGTTCAATTGGGTGTAATTTTTTACTTTGTAGGAGAGTCCTTATAAACTCAATGCATATACACTAACGACAACTACTACTGTACACAACTAACAATTGACGTGATGAGTCAACATTCATCATCAACACCGTGACACTACTAAATCTGACCTTTCTTTTTTCCTTTTTCAAAGATTGAAAGTACTAAATCTATCTTTTAAAGCTATAAAATGGAAATGACATCTGTGTTAGTGTAATACCCGAGTCACAACGGCATACCCCTCTTAACTCCCACTTCTTTTATCAGACAGAGAAAGCACTTGCTAGAGAGAGCACTTGCCTGGAAGTATTATCACATCTGCAGTGAACTCAGATTCATGTACAATTTCGCAGCTAAAAAACCAGTGCACCAAGAGCTGCCCACCTAGCCTTCTCACTAGTGTCATGTCGTCAATCCCCGTCTTCGTTGAACCAAATGGCAGATAAAATAATAGTTCAATCATTCTGATGAGAGCCGACAACCAGCATGAACTGTGCAAGTATAAACCAGAGGATATGTATCAATTAGTGGCAAGGGCATGGCGCACACACACACACACTGTTGTATCCTTCCATTGAAACCCGGATGAAAAGGAGTGTTTTAAGCAGGGCGGCCCACAACATAAATTATCCCACAGGAGGCTCCGAAAGAGGAGATAAGTACCTACTACTCAAAGTGGCAAAGGCAACCCATAATTATGAAATGATCTTATTCGCCCGTCGTAGCCAGCAGTAACAATAACTAAACCCCAGGCATGAGAATTGGATGAGCTCTGGCAAGAACTCCTCAGAAGGTTGTATTCAGATTTACACATCCCAGAAGACGTTGACCGAGGACTTGACACGGGAAGCTTCTCTTCAGGCCAGGTTGCTGATCCTTTTGGAATTGCCTCAAGGAATAACTCACGGCCCAAAGAAAGATAAGGAGAGGAAATGAAGGGTAATACGTTGTTTGAAGTTTGACTTAGTCCTCCTCCACAATGCCGTCCATTATCTGGATTTACAATTTTCAAGCCGGACCAGGGTATTGCAATGGTGGAATCACTGGAGAAGAACTCAGATGACCTCACCACTTTAGGTTGAGATTCATAATCTTTGGGAACGTCGCAATTCCATACATAGACATTAGAATCTTCAGACGCTGAGACAATATGCTTCCCATCCGAGGTGAAAGAGGCAGAGAGATGGTTTCCTGCAGTTCGCGGACCTATAGAACAGAGTAGAAGTAAATTAAAATCAGTAGAGGATAAGAAGCTGCAAGAAGTTAAGCCTAAAAACAACAATGGAGTCACAAGTCGCAACCAGTACTGAAATGAAAAAAGAAATGTGTCTACTATACATCCCACTGTCACAAAAAATCACACATCACTTTTGCAGCTATTCAAATTGCCTTTATTCATCAAAGCAAGCATAAGGCACTCAAAAGACAGAGCAAACAGACATCAAATAGAATATTATCTGAAATAGGAGAAGGGAACAAACCTTTGTACTTGCCGATCACATTGACACCATCTAGGATTCTGACGTGAGAGTCAGCACAAGTAACCATAACTTTTGATGGGTCTTGTGGAAAAAACTGCATTCAGAAAGCAATGTATACACATCTCATCATAAGGTACATCAGAAAATAAATCTGACCAGAACCACAAATTGTAGTTTGGTGATGTAATATTACCTGAAAGCCAGTAATCCTTTTGCAAATCGACTTCTTTTTATTGGCCAAGCACATCTGCTCCTCTAATTGTATCTCATGACCTGTCACAATACAGCTTTGTCTCAACTCCAACTAAATAACATGTTGTAAATTTTCGCTAAAAAAGCATGGACTGGAATACTGAGTCAAAATATTCCCAAATGTTCCTTGTAATCTTGCAAACAAATTTGACACTCCAGAAATAACACATCACTAAGTTATACATGATAGCTACAAATAGCAGTAACATCAGGTAATTTGTGTTCTCCTGAATAAGTGCTTCTTTAACTTCTATTAAGACTAATAAAAGAGGCCAAGAAGTGCAGACGACCACTAGAAAAAATGTCATCATTTTCGAAAATCAAATCTTTTTTTGAAAGAACAGCCACATTCCATTTAAATACGAGTAACAATTTGACATTTAGTGTTGCAATACCATAAATTTTTTTTAAAAAAAACTGACTCTGGGAGATACTAATGACGGCAAATAACAATACCACAAACCAAAGAGTGAATGTTACCTTCCAAACTGAAAAAACGACAACTGCCTGCCATTGAGCCAATAATCCCACCCTATATGAAGCAGATTATTTGTTTCAATAATTTGCTCAATTTTCTGAGTCTGTACTACAGGGATACCAAGATTAAAAAGATGAAAATTAGCATACCTTTCCATCAGGTTGATAGGAAACAGCAGTCACTATGTCTCTGATGTCAGTCCAATCCAATACTTGACAGCTATTAATGGCCCAAATTCGAACTTTCCCATCTATTGATCCACTGATGAAGTATTCATCGTTCACTGGGTTAAACTGTATGCAAGTCACTGCAAAACCAAAGTGAGTAATGCAGCATGAAACTCAATCACTACAAACATGTTTAATCACAAAATAATTCTAGAGTGGAGTTTAATGAAGGCATGTACATACCATAATTACTATGTGGAAAAACTCTGAGGCACAGATCATTTCCAACTTGCCACAAACGAACAGTTTTGTCAGTTGATGATGAGAGCAAACACTGCAGAAACAATACATAACAAGAAAGACGGTTACTTTCAGAATTTTTCAGAGGTTGATGATGAGAGCAAACACTGCAGAAACAATACATAACAAGAAAGACAGTTACTTTCAAAAATTTTCAGAGAACTGTTGATCAAAGACAATTTTATAAACTTACATTATTTTTTGACCACGAGAGATCCAATACCTCCCCAGTATGCCCTTGGAACACATGCAGTGGTTTTTCCAGAATTCGAAAGACCTTTGGAGGGAAAACGACACAAGCAGAGTCTCTTGTTTTCTTAAGGCCCTTCAACTTACTACTACTTTTCTCTTTATCTGTCACCAGAGGAGCCAATTGAGAAAGATGATTCACCGTGAAATACATACACGAAGGATCCAACTCTGGGATATCAAATTCATTGGATCTCTCATCTTCAACCACTTGCCACACCCGCACAATCTTATCTTCACCAGCACTAGCTAGGTACTGTCCATCAAAACTGAATTTTATAGTTAAAATTGAACCCTCGTGCGCCTGGATATCCTGCCCCGTGAAAAGAGCAGAGAGTTCCTTCAACCGTTTCTTACAATGGTGAACTTTAACCCTCTGAACTCTAGACCTCTGAACAGGGTTGGAATTGTTATCCTTCAATTCAAGACATCTCCCTTCGGCATTTGCTATGCACGTAAATGACCGTAGCCTGCTTAATAACCGACTCTTAACTCCATTTAGTTTCTTCGGTATGTCTCCATTTTTATCCAGTTCTCCCTGTCCAAGCTCCCCAATAACAGGGGACGTACATGGAGAGTTCTCGAGCTCACGAGACATTAGCAGTCGTTCCAATCTGACAGGCCTGTTATTGCCGTGCTGGCCATTCTCTGCCTGAACATGTACATTGCACCCAATTCCACTATCAACGTTACCACTTCTAAATGAGAAATCCCGATTTGAACCCAACTGTTTAGGTGAATCCAAACCTTCGCCCCCACACAAACCAGGCCTAGAAGCCCGGTAAGAAGAAAACTCGTCCTTGTGAATTGAGGTTCGTAATACAGCTCCACTACTTTCCATAATTCTTTCAATTTCCCCAGTAGATAAATTGGAGCTTCCACCTATATCTACTGGATCTTCTCCAGACATTCCATCTAAACTCAAACCCATCCAACAACGGAATTGCTTACGTCGCTCAACAACACTTCTGGGGGTTTTAATCCACTCATCATAGCTAACCCCATTGACAAACCCCGAGCCAGAATCAGGAATTGGGATAAAGTTAGAACCCAAATCAGAGCCCTGAGAAATACTCTCCGGGGCATCGAAAAATCGACATTCCCCTTCGTCATCACTGAAGCTACCCATGATACCTTGAGTTCACCCCATGAAACCCCACATCAAGAAATCATCTTTTTAAGCCCTAGGAAATGTGTTAAATAATCCATCCTTCATATAAACCTAAATAAACAAATGAAAGGAAATTGCATTTAGTAAACAAACACCAAAACACGACTACCAAGATGACTAAAACTGATTAAAAAATTCAAAAAACTCCATTATTATAGTAACAAGAAAAACAATTATACTATCCCCTCTTAACCATTACAACAACAACAAAAAAAAACAATAGATCCAGCATGGATCCCAATCCACTCACATTGAACCTGGTCTCCCCCACATAACATACTTCAATTTCAATAAAGGGTACTACCCCCCACCCCCTCCCCTTCCCCTCTTTATCCATCTACATAGAAATATGAACCCTAACTTTCAAACCCAAATAAATAACCAATTTCAAACCCAACAACAATTTCGACTCTTTATATCATTTAAAGGATTATCCAAAACACCCATCAACAAGAATAAGAAAAAAGATCAAATTTTTACAATGATTAACA